AAAAAAAAAACTGGTATACACTTTTCAAAATGCAAAAAATACGAAATTTGCTTATATCTCAAAAATTGTATATTTATCTTCGAATTCAGCGGAGCTTTTTTTATTGAAACAGCACATTCAAAATACAAAAATTTGGTGGCCATTTGCTTCGAGGTTGTAGAATCGGCGCCATCATAAAAGAAGGATTGTACACGCTTTCTCTAACGCAGTAGAAACTATTTTAGTGTCGTGGTAATCAAAGCCAGTGCAATCTCTGTAAATCAGTGCATTTAACTAAGTCAGTGTCATTATAAACATCAAACAGTTCATCATTTCATCTAGTTCGGTACTTGTTGTCCACGCGAACAGAGTCATAGATATTGCATAGAATAGTTCTCTCGAAAGCCCTTAATGCCGTCTCTTCTTTGTTCGGCATCGTCCATATTACACTTATCAAAAGGGAAATTCCTCTTTCACATTTTTCCGCAAAAATATCTGTCCTGCTTAAATAACTCTTAAGAATCTTTCCTCTTCAGTATCCAACCATCTTATTTACTTATCTCAATTTATCATGCGTCAGACATAATTTTCTTTACTTCATTCTTATACATCCTTTCTTTGTTTTTTTGTAGCCTTCAAAAAACGCCTTAAAACAATTTGGTTCAAAAATTTCTCCGATATTAGTACACCAACCCACCAAATCCTATTCAAATCGTATAAATCATGGCATTTTTAAGTTTCAAGTTGTACGTCACAATACCTCTGTTTACGGCGGTATTAGAGCTTGATTGTATCTACAAGTTTTCTTAGAATTTTAGTGATAAGTGTCTTAGTTCAGTAAACAATTAGATGGGGTATTTAATTATGTCTTCTAAAGTGCCTTAACGTTAAATATTTTTTAAAAAAATATCTATGTACTTATGTAGATAAATTCTATATCGACTCACATTCAGTAATGAAAAAGTTTAACAGTGTCAGCGCTACCGTATGTCCACTAAACATGTAATCGCCGCATGTACGGACTCCTTGAATAGACATACCTAGCCCACTCCAAATGGTATAGGCCCGTGAAATGCGCAATTCCAATGCTTCTGTGATAGTCAGGCTGAAATAAGTAAAAAGAGGAATAAATCGGTGTTTGTCAGTAATCAATCATACTTAAGTTCGTAGTATTAATAAAAACAATAATAATATTTTGGCGCTTATACTTCTGCAAAGTGTTTGGCCTAGCTTTTTATACAATTTGTGGTGTACATCCTGATGTTAAAACACAAATGGAGGAACCTACAATTTGCACCGCCTGCGAACGGCAAATGGTTTTTATGAGAAGCCCTTTCAAGGCAGAAGCACTCTCTGATTTAGATGTTGTTCGGACCAGTGATCGAACCAAGGTCATACGGAATGGTAGTAGGCTTCTGTCTGCTTACTTTTATTTTCTATTTTAACTCAATTTACCTAAATTTCTGAACATTCAGTGCTTTCAGAAAGTATTCTTAGAAGTTTATCGCGTAAATCTTTGGGCAAATCTATAGCTTGTACCAGAACCCCTCCTAAAATATATAGTCGATTAATACTAATAATAATATTTTGGAGCTTACACTTTTGCTAGGTGTTAGGCCGAGCTTCTCGTCCATTTTGTGGTGTGCGCCTTGGTATTCTTACACAAATGGAGGGACCTAGAGTTTTCAGCAGCCTCCGAACGGCAATGGATTTTATGAGAAGCTTTTTTTTT